GGGGGGGGCAGGATGGGGCAGCACCAGTGCGGGAGGGCGACCGGGAAGGCGGGAAGGGAGAATTCCGGGCCAATGGCCGGTGGGCCCTGAGCTGGGCTGGCAGGGAGGGTGCAAGGCCAGCAAGAGCGGCCGGAGTGAGCACGCCAGTCGCCAGCCAGATGTCAGCCCTCAGAGAGCAGAGTCCACATCTGGTGATTGGCACTTGCTCCTTCTGTCCCCAGGGCCGCCTCCCCGCACAGGGAGGGTCTCCTACATCAACATCATCATGCCTTCGGTGTTCGGCACCATCTGCCTCCTGGGCATCGTGGGGAACGCCACGGTCATCTTCGCGGTGGTGAAGAAGTCCAAGCTGCACTGGTGCAGCAACGTCCCCGACATCTTCATCATCAACCTCTCGGTAGTGGACCTCCTCTTCCTCCTGGGCATGCCCTTCATGATCCACCAGCTCATGGGCAATGGGGTCTGGCACTTTGGAGAGACCATGTGCACCCTCATCACAGCCATGGACGCCAACAGTCAGTTCACCAGCACCTACATCCTGACTGCCATGGCCATCGACCGCTACCTGGCCACTGTGCACCCCATCTCCTCCACCAAGTTCCGGAAGCCCTCCGTGGCCACCCTGGTGATCTGCCTCCTGTGGGCCCTCTCCTTCATCAGCATCACCCCTGTGTGGCTCTATGCCAGGCTCATCCCCTTCCCGGGGGGCACAGTGGGCTGTGGCATCCGCCTGCCCAACCCGGACACCGACCTCTACTGGTTCACCTTGTACCAGTTTTTCCTGGCCTTTGCCTTGCCCTTTGTGGTCATCACAGCCGCGTATGTGAGGATCCTGCAGCGCATGACGTCCTCCGTGGCTCCTGCTTGTCAACGCAGCATCCGGCTGCGGACAAAGAAGGTGACCCGCACGGCCATTGCCATCTGCCTGGTCTTCTTTGTGTGCTGGGCGCCCTACTACGTGCTACAGCTGACCCAGCTGTCCATCAGCCGCCCGACGCTCACCTTCGTCTACCTGTACAACGCGGCCATCAGCCTGGGCTACGCCAACAGCTGCCTCAACCCCTTCGTGTACATCGTGCTCTGTGAGACGTTCCGCAAACGCCTGGTCCTGTCGGTGAAGCCTGCGGCCCAGGGGCAGCTTCGAGCCGTCAGCAACGACGAGGAGAGGACAGAAAGCAAGGGCGCCTGACACTTCCCCTGCCACCCCCGGCACCTCCAAGTCAGGACCCCACAGCAGATCATGGGGAGAGATACTGATAAAAACCTGAGACCGCTCTGGGAGGCTAGGTGGTGAGGGGTTGCTGCCTCCAAACACCGTCCACGGGGCCCACAATTTGCTGGGAAGGCTCCAAGCCAGGCTGGGGGCTTCAAGCATCAGAAATCCCCTTGGGAGAGCAGGATGGAACCTTTGGGTAGAACAGAAACTGAGCAAGAAGAAAATTTTGCTTTAAATGTTCAGTTGAGCCCTGGGCTGGCTAGCTCCCAAATGTCTTTTTCCCCAGAGAAGAGGTTTGTTTAAAATCACTCAGGGCCTGGGTGTGAGCAGCGGGGCCCCACAGCGCAGCGGGGCCCTGGGGAGATGGGGAAGGTGGTGCGGCCCCCACACCCTTTCCATCTCTGGTTGGTAGGGTGGAGGCAGCCCTTCTCCCAAGCTGGACGGTGATGAAAAAGGAAGCCTGATGTCTCTCCATGTTCCAGCATCCTGTGTCCATCTCCCTGTATCTCTAGGAGGTGCATGTTTATTATCTGGGGGTGGGGGGTTCTGAGCCCACAGAAGTAAAAGGCCAATTTGCTAGGAGATCCGATTGAGAATGACAAGGCTAAATGGGTGGGTGGGGGTGGGTTGTCTTGAAATTTTAAAAAAACCTAGGGAGGCACAAGGGGGTTTTTGCAACTGCGGGCACATCGTCACCGTGGGGCACATGTGTCAATCACCAGATCCAGAGTGAGTGCCCATCAGTGTCCTTCATGTGCGGGTCATTCTGATGCCCGGTGTGTTGGCACCATCTTTTTGCTGTGACCCTTTCTCTCATAATAAAAATAAAGGATACTCTCCACCCACATCTCTCTGGAAGCTCCTGTGTAACTACTTGGGCTTGAGGGTTGGGGTGGAGTGGGGTGGAGTGGGTGCCAGAAAAGGCAAGAGGGATCACCTGGCTTTGGAATCTAGACGTTGGTCCAGGCTACATTTTAGGAAGCAAAAAGCAGGGTCTCTGCTTATCGAACCCACGGGGAGGACTCAGTGACACAAATGGAATTACTGTGAATTCATTAGATTGCAGTTCTGCTGCTGGGCTTGTTCTCAGAACTCAGCTTCCTGTCTGCTGCTCAAAAGTGCTAGGTTGTCAGCAGTGCTGGCCCCTCAGGCTCCAGGTCCCACTGCCACCTCCCCCGCTGAGTCACTGGTCACAGGGCTGGCTTCTCCGGCAGGCAGCCGGAGCCTGCTTCTTGCAGCTGCTAGGATCTGGACTGAGCCACGTTGAGCAGGAAGATTACAGACGGGGCCGCTGGGCGGCAGCCAAGGCTGCGCTTCTCAGCTGCTTCACCGAGAGAGGCGCGGAGCCAGGAGTCCTTCGCAAACTGCTCAGCAGATGTGGATGAGCTAGTAGGAGCAAACTGGGAGACTCTGAGCCTCCAACTTGTCCAATGCACCCTTAAAGCAGGTGCACTGGCACAGCCTCTTCTTGCCAGTATTGTGTTTTTGCAGAATTGCAGCAGGTGCCCTGTTTTACAAACTTTTGGGCAGCTTCTTGGGGTTCCAGGAGCTCTTCTTATCACCATTATCAAGTAGTACTTCTCAGCTTGGTTTCCACTCCATCCAGCTTGGGGGTTGGGAAGCTGATGATGGTTCCTTTTCCCTGCTTGCTGACAATGGGTTCTCTAGCTGCTGGAGGGAAACTCCAGGTATATTTTAGATGCGCATCCAACAAAAGAAAAAAGATTCTTTGGGGAGCCTTGAGGCAACTCCTATCCACTGGAGGTTTTCCTGAATCTGATTTGCCTATGAAAGGCTTGCCCACGGGTCTATCTTCAACCTCCACCCCCAGGAATCTGGGAGAAGAAATAGGTGAGGTGGCCTCTCCCAGGAAATGGAAGTGACCAAGTCAACAGCTCTGTAGTTGGGTGACCACCCTGCTGATGGCCCTGTAACTCCTAGGGAGGGCAACACCCCTTCTTTCAGCTCCCAGCCCCACATTGAAACCTTAACTGGGAGCGAAGTGGGTTCAGTCAGAAAAGTGAGTGGGTGGTGATGTAAACAGAACAGAGGGGAGAAGATCAGGGGAGAGATGAAGTCAGGGCAAATAGGGGCAAGGAGACTCTAACGGGGGTGAGGGCACTGTCCCCAGCCTGATCCCGCAGCAGACTGAACACACCTGAGGTGACTGCCACTGAACAAGAAGCAATGCAGGCTCCCTTCGTCTGTACACACCACCGAATGTCTGTTGTTTATGGTGTTTTTATTATAGCGGCCCGAGCTGAATGAGACAACTGAACTGGCAAGAGCTTTTTTGGTCGTGACAGAAATCCAACTCCCACTGATTTGCGCAAGAAAGGAGAATGTATTGGCCTGTTAAGTGGAAAAATTCAGGGCTATGTAAAGCTTTAAATATTGGCTGGATCCAAGGGCTCGAACTCTGCCATCAGGACAGACTCTCCCTTTCCCTCTTCCTCACACCCTCTCTCTCTCCATCACTTGGCTCAATTTTCCTCTCTATGGGCTTCCTTCTCAAGGGATGTCCTCCTAGGTGGTAGCAAAAATGGCCACCAGCAGGTAGGTGAACTCGCACGGTCCTCACTGGCAGCAATCCATGAATTAGCTGGGACTTCAGTCCCGCCACCTTTCCTCCAACATTTGTTTTAAAACCCAAAAAAAGTCTCTACTGGTCCTGAGTGAGTTACATACCTTCCCATTTCCACTCAACCTAGCACGAGATCTTGGGAAATGAGACACTCTTATTGGCTAGGATAGGTGACGTGTTCATCCTGATGGGGCCTAGGCAGGTGTGTGTGTGTGTGTGTGTGTGTGTGTGTGTACACGCGTGCAAGTGGGGGGGGGGCGGTTCCTGAAAGAAGAGAATTTCTATTACTGCAAGTAGAGAGAAGGCTGGTTGGTAGACAAAAGCAGTAACATCCCACCAGGTAAGGCTTCTAGCGTTAAAGAGAGTGGCTCGGAAAACCACAGCAAGGAGCGGTCAGGAAGGACCAAGGAAGACCAGGCAGCAAAGAGGCTGGTGACTGCCATCAGAGATTTTGCACAGGAAAGAATCTTTAATCTTGAATCTGATGAAAACTCTGGACACGCTCCCATCCCAAACGCACATTTGCTTATGCACATAAAATACTACAAGTGAGTTTGGAGCGTTGATAACCTCCTCCCCAGGCACCAGAGGAAGGACCCCTGGTAATGGAGCGATCCCTGGATGTGGGATCTAGGTACCTGGCAGCCAAGTCAGATATTGGACGCTAGATGGCTATGGCCAAGTGTGCAGGCACAATGCCCATCGTCAGAGCGAAAGCAGCCAGGGTCCCTGCCTTCCTGGAGCTTCCAGGCCCGTGGGGAGCAAGACATTAATCAGATAATTCCAGAAATAAATGTGGAATCACAGCTGGGACTCTACAAAGGAGAGGCCTGAGAGGGAATGAGCGCCCTGGGATAGGGGCGGAGCTGCTCAGGCAGGTCAAAGAGGGCTCAGCTAAAGTGACATTTCACCCACCAAGCTGTGAAGGGTAAAAAGGGAGGGGGCCTTCCTGGCAGAGGAACAATCTGTGCAAGAGCCTTGTGTTTGAAGGGAGTTTAAGGGAATGCTGACGGATGCCCTGACGGGTGAACCAAGGGGATGTCTCAGTCGGACACATGCTGTGTTCTCAGGTTCTTCTGGGCTCTATTTTGCAATGTGTAACAAGAAAGAAATCTGGTTGTAATTGCAGCAGCCCGGGGGCACACCAATTCATTGCAAAAGGGAAAAACAAGAGATTTTGGTTCATCCGTCCCTCCTGGATCTCATTAGAAAAAAAGCTGAAATTCCAAATGCCAGCTCCATTACCAACACTTGACAACGCTCTGTCTTGTCAGACAAACGATTTTGAGCACAAACTACCCTGTCTCGTCACCATCCATTGCTTGGCCCTCCCAGGCCAGCTGACACCCCCCTGCTGCCAGTGGTCTGAGATGAGCGCCAACGCCCCACCCACGCCCCCTGGGAGCCCGGAGGCTGCAGCTGCTCACCTGCGGGCTCCTGCCTGCCAACGAGAGCTTCCCCGAGAGCTTCTTTCTGTCCCACTTTCCTTCCCTCCTGAGGAAATGGAGGTAAGAGGAAGAAATCAGAAATTAAGAAAATATTAATTTGGTTGGTTAGAGCGACTTCTGATACACCAAGGTTGCAGGTTGATCCCGGGTCAGAGCACATATAAGAATCAACCAATGATGCATCGGTAAGTGGAACAGCAAATTGAGGTTTCTCTCTCCCTTCCTCTCTCTCTCAAATCAGTAAGTTAAAAAAGTGAAAATAAGTTAAAAAGAAAGAAAATGCCTTTCTGAATAAACTGGGGACAGGAACTTTAGCAGCACCTTTCAGATAAAGCAAGTAAAGTGCTCCCACAAACCACCAGTCACAGCCTCTGTCATCGCTCTGACCATTCAGTCAGCCGCCTCCCCTTTTTACTGCTGCCCTTCAATCTCTGTCTGCCTTCTGGAACCCCAGTCCAATATTTCCATCTGTCCACATGATATCTTTACCATATCAGGCTCAGGATGATGGAAATCATATATTCATTATCTTTTTACCACTTACCACCCACACCAACTCACTCCAAAAGTCCCGTTTTCTCCAGCACATTATGCCTTGCCCTTTTCCCCACCTCCTGTTTCATTATAAAGTCCTGTCAAGCCTTATATTAAATTATTTCACAGATTCATGCCTTTCATCTGATTTCTTAGACTCAGAGTCACCTGGGATTAAACCCCCAGCATGGCCACTAACTTGCTGTGTGACCTTGGGCAAATCACTTAACCTCTCTGAGCTTTTTTAAAATATATATATCTTTATTGATTTCACAGAAAGGAAGGGAGAGGGAGAGAGAGAAAAACATCAATGATGAGGGAGCGTCATTGATTGGCTGCCTCCTGCACACCCCCCACTGGGGATCGAGCCCACAACCCGGGCATGCGCCCTGACCCAGAATCCAAGGGCGATCTTATGGATCATAGGTTGATGCTTAAGCACTGAGCCACGCCAGCTGGGCTCTGAGCTTTTTTTTATCTGTAAAATGGAGGTAAAAATATATACCTTGCAGGATTGCTGTGAGAATTGAAGCATATATAAAGCGGCACACTCCTGTGAATGCAAAGGGGCTATGTAATAAACCTGACAAGCTCAGGGGGGCCACACGGCAGGCCTGACAAGCTCAGTGACCTAAAGTAACCACACAGGATGGTCTGATCATAAATTCCTGACTGGGTAGGTGAGGGCGGTAGTCACGTCCCAGGCCTATAGCCTCCTTAGCAGAGGTCAGTCTTTACCTTAGGTGAGCCCTGTCCACTGTTCTCTGCATCTAGGATAACATACCTTTGAAATATCAGAGCTGTTTTTTTCCAGACCCCTCAGAGGCACAACTGCCAGCACCAGAGCACAAGACCACCGGAGCCTGAGCCCACGAGACTCCTCATTGTTATCTTCTTGCCCGCAAACCACCTCTATGTGCTGTAAATGCTAAATGTTAGCTGTCCTGCACCCACCAATGGAAAAGAAGTACATGTCGATCATTTTGCCTTTTGTCCAATCCCAGAGATTTCCCTACTTTTTCTCCAGCCTCCTTAATCTACCACCAA